CATTTCTTAAATGATAGTGAAAAAAAAAGTAAGATGTGTGTTGAAACTGCAGAGTTTATTTGATTCGGTATTCGGAAATCCGTCTAGATGGTAACAGTGGAGATGCTGGGTGGACAGCCCACCTGCTATCAGCTGTGTCAGTGGGGCTGAACTCCAGTACCAATTATCTCTAACTGTAGGTAATTGAAGATCTGAAGTATGTAGCTGATGGGACCGTGAGACATGACCCAGAAGATGTTACTGCCCAGGAGTTGATTGTACCTTATTATGGATTTCAGGGTTCCTGTCTTCTTTGCATTTTTGTTTTTTCTTCTCCAAGTTGTTGTCTTGCCCCAGAGCAAGGCAGTATGATATTTTGGGGGAAATTTGAATGCTCCATTATTCAGGGTTTTTTAGTTGCATGGAACAGAAACTCCTATTAGCTAATTTAGGCCTAAAAGGTATTTGCTGGAAGGACTTTGGGGAGTTTCCAGAACTGATGCGGAGCTGGGAAACCGGGGTTAACACAGGCTTGCTCTAGGCAGTGCCAAACGTCTATAGAGTTGGACAAGTTGGTGCCTCCAGGGACAGCTGCCAGAAGAATGTGCTCGTGCTATTATGGTCTGCCCTTGGGTCACTCCAGTTAAGATTCAAAGTCCTGGGAGAATGAATCTGATTAGTCTCCCTTGGACATCTCTGTAACTAGAGGAGGGCCTACTAAGACCAACCACATCGGGTAAGCGGACATTCCAAAAGGAAATAAAGTCCATTGTCCAAAGAAGGGGAAAGGATGCTGGGCAGATCCAGAGCCACAGGGCTCACTAAAGTGGATTTAAGAGATTTAAAGTCCTTGGGTGGCACAAATGGTTCGCACTTGGCTGGTAATAGAAAGTTTGGAGGTTCGAACCCACCCACAGAACTGTGGAAGAAAGGCCTGGTGATCTGCTTTGTAAAGATTACAGCCAAGAAAACCCTATGGAGCAGTTTGACTCTGTAACACATGGGGTCTCCATGAGTCAGAGTCAACTTGATGGCGTACAACAACAGACGCTTGAGTTATTGTCCCAGCCTGTCCTGAATATCTGTGTGCCCTGATACAACCTGTCCCCGCCTGGGTCTCAGCCTTTTCATCTGTAAAACGAGCGGGTCAGCTCACATGACGTCTGGGGCCTTTCTGCTGGAATGTTCCCTCGTCCTTGGCGTTTCCCACTGCTCTGATTCCCCATTTCTATATGTTGAGACCCCCAATCTTTCCCTCCCTGTAGTCACAGGTGGAGAAGTCAGAACAGTTTCTAAAGAGTGGACCGCTGGTAGGAGCCCTGCTGGCGAACCCCACAGGCCAGTGTGGGAGGCATTCCATGACAATTTTTCAAATTTATTGTGGAAAAGGCAGCAGCAGTCTTGCTGCCAGGGAGGCAGATTTGTGAGGTGAAGGAAATGACAGGCTGGTTTGTGAAGGAGGAGGGAGGGTGTTGCCAGGGTCCTGGAAAAAACACCTCAGGATCCTTTTCTGGCCTGAGTAAATCTGGCGGCTGTTCAGGGCTGAGGCGCAAAGATGTGGTTTGTGTCTGTCTCTGAGTTCTTCACGCTGCGGTGCTATTAGGCCTTGGAGAGGCTCCCACACCTCATAAAAGTGTGTCTGTCGAGCTTCGTCTGGGAGCTTTCCAGTGTCACACAGGGTACTCTGTTGAAAGTTCAAAGCAGCTGAACGGCTTTAATACGATGTTAGACTGGCACAGGTCATTGTGATTTCTGAAGCTTGAGGACCTCAGCTCCTAAAGTACGACAGTGGTGCGAGATGGCAGGCTGGGAGTCAGAGCAGACTGGGCTGCAGCGTCGACTCTTCTAGTTCTTCCTTCTGCAGGACCTTAGGCAATTTGCCTAAAGTTTCTGAGTTGTTTTTCACATCTGTAAAATGGGCATAACAATAGTTACCTGTATGTAAGTTTGGAGCCCTGGTGGTGCACTGGTTAAGAGTCTGGCTGTCAACCCAAAGGTTGGCAGTTCAAATCCACCAGCAGCTCCGTGGAAACCCTACGAGGCAGTTCTACTCTGTCCTATAGGGTCGCTATGAGTCGGAATCGACTTGACAGCAACAGGTTTCGTTTTTGGTTTTATATGTATGGTTGTCACGAAGACTTAATGAGAAAATGCATGTGAAGTGCTTGGCACAGCACCAATCCAAATCCAAACCAAACCCATTACTGTCCAATTCCAATTCATAGCAACCCTATAGGACAAAGTAGAACTGTGCTATAGGATTCCAAGGCAGTAAATCTTTAGGGAAGCCGACGGCCACATCTTTCTCCCGCTGAGCCACCAGGCCCCTGTTTGCACAGTACCAGTCACACATAAAGCATTCAGTAAGTGGTCAGTAAGTGTCAGAGTGGATCACAAACAGATAATTGTCCACCCATGTTCATTGCAGCAGAGTTCATATTGGCCAAAAGGTGGAAACAGCCTAAATGGCCATCAGCAAATGAATGGATAACAAAATGCACATACAACGGAATATTCCTCTGCCATAAAGAGAAATGAAGGCCCAATGCACGCTGCAACACGGTGAACCTAGAAAACATTATGCTGAGTGAAACAAGTCAGTCACAAAAGGACAAATTTCATAGATGATTCCGCTTACACAAAATATCTAGCATAAGCAAGTGTATAGAGATCCAAATTTATTAGTGATGTCCAACGGTGAGCAGAAGGGGTGTGGAAAGGAAGGCACAACACTTAGCGGGCCCTGAGCTTCTCTTAAGGGTAAATGGGCACAACAGTAGTCCTGCACTGTCTTTTTGATTGTTGGTATGCTCGAGTCCATTGTTGCAGGCACTGTATATTTTGAGTGACTTCCAACCTAGGGGGCTCATCCATAGAGTTTTCATTGGCTAATTTTTGGAAGTAGCTGACCTTCTACTTCACCGAGCACGATGGGAAAATTTGGGAATGGTGGTGGTTGAACATCATGATCAATACATTTAATGTCACTGAACTGCACATGTGAAGAGCGTTGAAATGGCAAATGTTTTGTCACCTACATATTTAGCACAATTAAAAAAAAAAAGAGAGAGAGGGAGATTAAAAAAAAAAGTTAGTATCGATGCTATGGAGCCCTGGTGATGCAATGTTAAGTGCACAGCTGCCAACTGAAAGGTAGGCGGTTTGAACCCACCAGCCACTCCAAGGGAGAAAGATGTGGCAGTTTGCTTCTGTAAAGATTGCAGCTTTGGAAACCCTATGGGGCAGTTCTTCTCTGTCCTAGAGGGTCACTATGAGCCGGAAGCGACTCGACGGCAATGGATTTGGTTTTGGTTTTGGATTGCTGTTCCTATTTTTATTATTATTGCTATACCCCAGTTGGAAAGACCTCACTCTTCCCCTAGAGCTGGCACCCTGAATTCGGACTTCCAGCCTCCTAGACTGTAAGAGAGAAATTTCTGTTTGTTAGAGACATGTGCTATTTCTGTTACAGCAGTACTAGGTAAATAAGACACCCAACCTCTAGGCCGTCAGACACCCCCACAATACTTTCTACTTGCTAATTCCTCTACTCTGCACCCTTGAATTTAGTTAATTGTTTGTAAAAATACATGTTCAATGTCACTTTCAGCACAAGGTGGGTACATAGTAGGTGCTCAATAAATATTTATGAAAGAATGAATAATTCCTGTTATCACTATTTTGTCGGTTCTGTGAATGCAGACAAGTTGCTTAATCTTTCAAAGTTTCAGGCTTCTCATTTGTAAAATGGGGGTTAGAAAAAGAATTTACCTCGTAATGCTTTTGGGATGAGATAAAATAACCCAAGTAAGGTGTTTAGCACAAAGGAAGCATTAACTGCTACGTTGGTTGTTTTTAGGCTGTTTTTGGTTGTTCGTATGACTTTGGGTGAGTAGTTTAACTTGTCTAAAGGTCAGTATTGTCCCATTCAACGATTGGTGTTCAGCTGGTTTGTTGTGAGGGTCAAGTGAGATGGGGGGCTGGCATATGGTTCTCGGTAGTTGCAGCTGAGTTGTCTCTAGCTCCTGGCAACCTCATGCACAACTGAACACACAACTGTGCCATCTTCATGGTTGTTGGCGTGCTTGAGTCCACTGATGTGGCCTCTGTGTATTTTGAGTGCTTTTCAACCTAGAGCACTATATTGGAAAATATTCTGTTGTGATCCATAGGGTTTTCATTGGCTGATTTTTGGACATAGATTGCCAGTCCTTTCTTCCTAGTCTTCTTAGTCTGAAAGCTTGGTTGAAACCTGTCCACCATGGGTGATCCAGCTGGTATTTGAAATTCTGGTAGCATAGCTTCCAGCATCAGAGCAACATGCAAGCTACCACAGTACGATGAATTGACAGCGGTGGCACAGAGTAGATGTGTAATAAATGTCAACGGTCTCTTCCCATGCTCTCCCCTCCTGCACCCCTATAGATCCCTGACTACATTGGAGTGTTTATGCCTTAATAGACTGACAGGGTGACAGCAGGAAGAAAGGGTTGGAGATTATGGCTAAGCCTTGGACTTTGTTTAAAACAAAGAACATTCCTATTAACCTCAGAAGATCTACATCCCATTAACACTTGTTCCCCACAACTGTGTCTTCCTAAAGAGTTTACAGTAGACTTCCTGTAAAGATTACAGCCTATGGGGCAGTTCTACTGTCATATAGGGTCGCTATGAGTCAGAATTGACTCGATGGCACACAACAACAATACTGAGTGAAATAAAATTAAATCCAAAATACAAAGTCAACTCAGAGTCGTTTAGAGTCACCTCAAACCGGTTTGACAAAGCAAATATTCCTGGTGTTTCCTCTAAATTTAGAGTTAATCTAAATTGTCCCCTGAAGGAGCTGGAGCAAAGCAGGGTTATTGCTATGGCTTTAGTGGTGGGTGGTGCTCAGCTGTTAACTGAAAGGTAGGTAGTTTTAACCCACCAGCTGCTTCACTGAAGAAAGATGTGGCAGTCTACTTACATAAGGATACAGCCTTGGAAACCCTGTGGGGCAGCTCTACTTTGTCGTGTAGGGTCACTATGAGTTAGAATTGACTAGATGGCAATGGGTTTGTGTTTGGTCTCCTATCAAATGGGCTTGTGATGGTCTATAACCTCAAAGGAGGAGCCTTTTGTAAAGCCACCTAGTGTATTTATAGATAGTTTTGGGGAACATCCGTCAATATTTTCAAGGCTACCAATTATTTATTATTGGAAAGAAATGCTTCAGTGGCCTTCAGTGTGCATACTAAAAAATAATTACTGAGTGAGCCAATTATAAGTTATTGCCGACAAACCTCAGAAAACCCCTTATAGCAATTTTTTTGACCTCTTTCTCAAGCTTTGCGCCACAGTTTGTCTAAGAGACCAGTAGAGAACTCTACTTCCATGTCCAAGCTGTGCATAGCCGAAATACTTAGGCAGGGACTGTGAAAAGTTTGTTCATTTTAAAATCGGATTGATTGTTTTTATAATGTTGATCTCCTTTGTGGCTTCGGCATGGCAGCATAAAATAACATTTCCTTCCTCTTTATACATTCCATTCCTAAACAAAACCACCCCCAGGAATTCCCTGGAGTAGTCATTAATTCCAGAACAGTGTCATGGGTAAGAAGCATAATTGCTCCTAGCTTATTTTTTTCCTGCTCTATTTCTGAGCAAATCGCAGGCTCCTCCCCTCCATCTCAAACTCTTGATTACGGTCATCTGCAACATAGATTGCACAACGCCCTAGACCCCTGGGACTCTGGATGGGCCGTGAGGGCCAATTTGTATCGGAGTCAAGATCAGCCCGACTTTCTGGTAAGGAGTTGGCATCTGTCTTGTTTTCAGACCATGCTCTGGCTGCGTAATGTGAAGAGGGGCCTAACAGGTAGTTGGAATTATTCCTGTCCGTCCCCACAGCCAAGCTTCGCATTTCCAATGTTGTTTCCTGATGATTTGGAATAGGGAGCTGTTTTCCTAGCGAGAAACACTTTCTCCCATTCCAAGAGTTTGCCCAGACTCAAGTGATTCAAGCTAACACTTTCCGTGTTCCCAGGTGAGTCACCCCAGGCCCACACTCCAGCCTGGGGCCACAAAGGGGCAGAGAGGAAACTAGGTTGCCCTCGCTTTCCTAACACTTTGAACCGCTCACCTTCTGCGGATGGTATTTCCCTTTGAATTTAGAATACAGGGTGTAACAGCTTGAAGCTATTAGGGTGGGACTTAGAACCCAAAAAAGAGATCAAGAAAAAGACATCAAGGGCTTAAATAGATTACCCTAAGGATCAGAGCCAAAGACATTAATTATTTATTGATTTTCTGGGTGATGGTGATGGTGGATTAAAATCCCAAAGAAAGACAATGAGGTAATTAGAACAGAGATAATAACTTCTTCTTACACACCGGTTTCTGGTTTGGGCTGTGGGTTCTCAGAGACTTATAATTAATAGTATCTTCATCCAAAAATGCCTTCATGGACCAATGGTGAACATGTGTCAGGAGTGTCTGTGTGTGCAAGAGGTCGGGAGGAAGGGGAATTGGTAGTTCCCAAAATAATGACTCACATGACGAAGAGTAGGTATGTTTTATTTTATGCTCTGCACAGTAGCATTTCCAAACTGGCTTCCTCCCAGGAGCAACCAATGAATCTCATTTAACAAATGGCTAAGGTAAGAATGAACAAGCACTGGGCTTCTTAACATGGAAAGACAAATTAAACTGTGACCAACCATATAAAAAACAAAATAAACAAACATGAAATAAGCGGGGACTGATGTTCTACCAGATGGAAATGTTGAAAACTTAGTCATCATTACTAGTAACCCCTGTGTTCTTCAAGCATCCAGCTCATTGTCCACCGGCTTGTTTGAAAGGCAGTCTAGCATAGGTTAAGAGCAGCCTGGGTTTGAATCCCAGCTCTACTTTTTGCTATCAGAGAACCTTGGGCAAATTTATTAGTCTTTCTGTGCCTCCGTTTCCTCCTCTGCAATGTCGGGTAAATCACAGGATTGCTGTGCAATGAATATAAATGTCTTAAATAGTGCCTAGCAAGTAACTAGGGTCTGATATTATTATTACTGTAGTTGGTCTATCAGGCCTAAACTCCAAAAGTGTTCCTAACCTCAGCACTTTTGACACAGGATGAGCTAAAGCATAATGAAGTGTTATGTAATCCCAGTCCAACATAGCACCCAGATTCTACCTCTTACTATCTGTGTGGCCTCAGATAAGTTACATAACCCCTCTGAGCTTCCATATTTCCTTGTTTGTAAATCAGGGTTAGTAATAACTTTCCTCCCAGAGCTGCTGTGAACTTACGAGATAACCCAAGTAGGCAGGCAACAAATTCCTACCTTTCCGCCACCAACTCTCACTGGGCAGAATTCCTGGGCTTGAGTTGAGCAAGGGAATACTGTGTGTTAACTCAGCTGAAGGGATTTCCATTGCCACTTTTCTCCCCACGCCTGGTCTATATCCCCCATTGTATACTTAACTGTTATCTTTCACCTATTCCAGCAACTTTTCCTACCTCTAACCCTCTGACCAGCCTTCTCTTGCCCTTTCATTCTTTAAGTATCAACTCTGGCCCTTATCGCCAATCTCCAGGAAGCATCTTACAACCCTTAGAACCTAGAAGACTATAAGGTCTTCCTTCCCCCCACCCGTTTTAACAAAGAAAAGCCCTGGTCTTTCCTAAAATAACTTCTTTCGCCATCTTTGTAAGCCCACCTACCCTTCTTAAGGGTCAAATTCTGTTAATTTGTAATTGATGAAAAGAAAATGGTTTTAAAAAAAAAGAACAGAAACAAAAATACACTCACAACTTAAGATTTGGCTCAGTTATATATTTGCCAGGTATTTTATTTTTTCTAAAAACCATAGAAAAAAAAAACAACTTTAAAAAGGAAAATGTACTTAAATAAAAAAAATTATGGTTTATAATACATGGTTTGAAATCTTGTACAATTGCTATAAACGTTTTATTAAAGTTATTTACATTTAATGGCCATATTTACACAGGAAAATTGGGGAAACTTTAGAATTTTTTTAAAAACAATTCTTAAATACACATCTGCCAAAGACAAGAAAAAAAAGAAAAAAAGATGGCAAGCATAAAAAAAGTTCTTTTATGCCCAAAGACCCATTTGAGGCAGTTTACATTATGGCTAGACCTTTCAGTCCCAAGACCCAGCCAAGGTTGTGAGGTTGCACTTGACCATGCATTTGAACTAAGTTCATACCTAATGAATTGTGGCAGTTCTGCCAGAAGGAATCTTTTCCCTTACTTTCCCTTAGTAACAAGTGAGAGAGCGATTCCAGTCCCTCCGATAGGTCAACTTATTCACAAGAGTTCCGTAGCTGTTCAAGTTTGTGTTTCAACTGTTCTCGGCGTTTCCGCAACAAGTCCTTTTCTGAAATGAGCTTTTGCTCCTCTGCTTGGATAGACAAGATGTACGCTGTGGCTTTTTTAAGGATAACTACCTTGGGGGCCTTTTCATTGTTTTCCAACTCTGGGATCTGGTCTCGAAGGGCAAAAAAGCTCCGTTTCAGCTCGTTCCTCCTCTGGCGTTCCAAGACGTTGTGTGTCCGCCTCTTGTCGTTCTCCTCCGTGTCTGAAGACCTGGGGCTGGCACATTTGCGGTTGTTGCTGATCTGTTTCAGGACTCTGCCACTGTCCAACTTCGCCCTCTTGGTGGCGGGGTAGTCCTTCCTGGTGGAGGGTGGGGCTGCGTAGTTGTGCTGATGGGTGGAGACATGGCATCGCTTGAGGACCAGCGGACTGTGAGGAGGTTTGCTGTGGCCTCCGGAAGAGTGTGACCCCGCTTCTGACCTTTTGGCAGGGGGCTGCCTCTTTTCCACAGAAACAACATCGATTTCTTCGTCATCTTCTTGTTCTTCCTCTTTAAGAAAGGAAATAGAAATTACAGGTTAGCAATGGTTCCTTACAGCAATCAATGACCAGATTAAATGAATGCTATGTGAGTATAAAGCCCTATTATGTTAAAGAGGACCCTGGGTCCCCACATGGGACAAAGTGATCCCCAAAGAGAACCAAAGTAGAAAGCGGTCTTCTCCCCAGAAGCCTCACAAAGGCAGGAGAGTGATAGTTGGGGTTACAGCACAGGCAAGAAAACTACAATTTACCAGGGTATAACATCGATGCCAATGCTTACCTAAGACTTAATGAGGCTTTGGACACACCCAAAGCAAAGCGCATTCGCAAGCACCTCCTATTTTTAAGGGACTTTACCAAGAACACTTCAGGTGTTGCAATGCAAATGATAGCTGCAAATCTCTTGGTTATGACTATAGCAACTCCCTATTTCACTGGAAGTGCAAAAGGGAAAAAAAAAAAAAAAA